CATTGCGGGGAGACTTCAGCTCATCCCCAGGGAAACCTCAAGTCACCACTGTGAGTCTGAGGGGCTCCACTCTGGATGAAGAGGAAGGGTGACCCCTCCTGCGTGTAGGCCGAGATGGTGCTTAGCACCCATTTGGAATGTGAAGGGCCTTGAGTTGGGGACACTGACACTAACAACAGTGAGTTTGAATCTCATCATAGCCTCTTTATTCCCTTATCCCCACCCTATCCTCAGCCCTGAATCCCTAGTGTTCTTTCCCTCCCTTCTGTCTTCATCCTGGATATGATTTCCTCTTTAGATCCCTCTGGTTCCAGTATCAAGGCAAACTAGATACTCCTTATAAGCCAGGGAAATTTCTAGCTACTAGACCATGAGCCCCATTTGCTCAGCCTGCATGGCAAGATACTAACTAGACCATGAGTCCCATTGCTCAGCCTTCATGGTGGGGTACTAGATTATGGGTCCCGTCGCTCAGCTTTCATGGCATGGTACTAGACCATGAGTCCCATCACTCAGCCTTCATGGCAAAGGTGCCATGAACAGAGATTTTAGACTCTCTTTAACCTCTGAGCTTGAGTGCTTCCCATGAGGACTCGGAGCATTAAATTCTACGGCCAGCCTATGCTGGTCGTATTTTCAGATCGATACTGTAGTAGAACAGATGGGCTCTGCCTGGATCATGTCCCACATCTTGATTTATGGACAGGGCTTTGCCAGATGGACTAGCATGACAGATTCAGACAAGAAATCACCTTGCTAGCACCCGCTTGAGAGTTGAGTTCAGTGTCTTGCCATTTGAACTCGGAAATGCATCAGTCTGCCAGTGGTGACTGGTTTAATGGTCTGTGGAGGTGCTCAGAGGCTGTCTGCCTTCACCTTCACTGATGGTGGTCTGCTTTATTTAGCTAAGATGCAGGTGAACACACCTGACAGGTCTTGCAGCTTCTGGATACAGCTCTCAAGCTGACATGGGATATAATTCTAAATGCTAGGTCTGGCTTTTGTGGCCTTGGTATTCAAGTCACAGGGTGTGGGATTCTTGGGAGACAGTGATCAGCAGCTGGTAAGCCTCTGCACCGGTCGGACACAAGACAAGCTTTGTCATCTCTGTTTCAGAATCATGACAGGTTTCTTGTTGCCTCTAATGGAGCTACCAGCTCCTCCTGTTCTGAAAATCCCCATGGGTCTGGGAACTTCAGAATAATGATAATCACTTTTGATTCTTTTCTTGGCTTCAAAAGCCCCAAATATTTCGTGGCCTCTGTCTTGGCAAGACTTGCTTTAGATACAAAGGACGAAGCCCCATAAAGATAGATAAAGGGACCCCCATTAGCAGTGTGGCCCCAAGGCAGAGCTGGCTGCTGCCCTTAAGAGCATCTGGCATCCATCTGCCCTTATGTTAGCCGCGGCTGTGGACATTTGGCCATTTCACCTCTTGGGCTGGCCCATAAACCCTGGGATTGTTTGAGATTTTTATAGACTTCACATAGAGCTGTGGACATTTTCAGATCCATGGGGCATCTTCCTGTAGAGGAGGCTATGGAAGATTGGGTAGTAAACACTGAACAGGCCCACTAGGCCCATCTGTGAAATGGATGCTTTGCAAGCGTGGCTGATGGGTCTTGGGTGACTCCTGGGTACCAATGTCCTTATTTTAGTTCTTCCATCATTATATTGTGCAATCAGTTTCCTTCAGGCTGAGGAAACCACACAAATTGGACTCGGATGGAGAGGACAGTGGAAGGAGAGGGGAGGTGGTTTTGAACTTGGTCTACTCAGAATGACGGTAAGGAGACCTGAGAGAGGAAGGAAGAGTGGGTTCCTTTAAGCTGTGAGTGTCTGGAGCTGCCTAGACCAGAAGGCTGGCCACAGGAGAACTCTCTGTGCCTGGGAATGGTGAATTCATTTAAGCACAGGTTTGGTCAGACATTAGCATGGTACTTGGCAGGAGCATAAATATGCTTCTGTCCTCTCTGTGTCTGTCCTTCCCAGAATGAGATTAGGGGTTTCCAGCATGCTTAAGGGCAGTGGTGAGGCCTGATTCTTGTCCTGCAAATTCCTAATCAGAATTGCCTAGCACAGAACCGAGGATACAGCATCGTCATTAGCGTGCTTACCCTGGATGCAGGAAGCTCTGGGTCAGATGCTCCTCACCACGCAGTCTGGGTGTGGTGGTGCATACCTGCATTTCCAGAACTCAGGAGGTAGAAGAAAGGTGATCAGAAGTTCATGGTCATCCTTGGCTACATAGAGAGCTTGAGGCCAGCCTGGGATACATGAGATTCTGTCTCAGGAAAGAGAACAAGTGTGCCTAGTAGGCAAACAATAAATACAAAATGGACAACCAGCCCCTCCAATTAACAATCTCATTAAAATAAAGGGCTGTTCAGAAAAACAAAAGAAAACGGCATTCATATTATTGTCATCCCTCCCCACCCCACCCCCAAATGCCCAACAAATCTTTCTGGACATATCTTGAGAGAAAATAATAATTCTCCATAAACAGGATCCTACCTGATTTATTTTTCTACCTTAACATTGTGCTGTGGCTCTCTTGTCACATCAGTAAACATCGGCCTACATCCTTTTAAAATAGTATTGCATTATACAGATGAGCCATTTTTGAATCCGTCTTTGTTGATGGACATTTAGGTCATTGCCAATTCAAAGCTATTAACAATGAGATGTAGCATCCCAGCCATGTGCCTTGGAGATAGGCCTCCTGCTGTGGTGATCCGGTTTTATTACCCAGCCTAGGCAGTGTGGAGATGACAAAGGGCGACATCCTCCTCTCCTTAGCACTGCCCGCACGCTAATTGTATTCTAATTCATCTGTTATGTGCTTTTTTTGTGTTTCCACCTCCCCCTCCTCCTACACAGTCCTCTCAGGCTTTGTGGTTAGGTGTGGAATACACTGTGCTCATTCAGCCCCGCCCTTCCTCATTAGTAACATGTGCATGGTGTAGATTGCTTCTGCAAGTCCCTGGCAGTCAGCAGAATTAGCCTCTGGTTCAGAACAGCTGGAGAGAAACCTACTTTGCCTGTTTCATTCCAGTTCTTTTTATAACAGTGAAGTTCCGGTGTGCATTGAGTTTACTTAACAGTGATGGTGAACATGTCTAACACCCCCCACCCCCTTTTAAAAAACAATTTACACTTTGGGCTTGGGAAGTTGGCTTAGCAGTTAAGAGCGCTGGCTGACATTCCAGAGGATTCAATTCCCCACACCCACATGGCAACTCACAGCCATCTGTAACCTCAGTTCTGGGGGGCCCAATGCCCGCGTCTAGCCTCATGGCGCACACATGGCACAGACTTGTGTGCACCGTGCGAGCAGAATGCCCATACATATAAAATAAAAATTCTTTTGAAAGTCACACTTAATATTTCTCAGTCCAATAAGAACATGCCGAGTACCACACCTGGAACCTCTTACAGGAAACACAGAAGCCATCAGCCACATGGTCCCTCGCCATTAGGGTTTGAGCTGAGAGACTCAGAGTACAGCCAGCCAGCTCCTGACTCGTGATAGTTCAACTTTATGATGGTACGAGAATGATAAGCAGTCAGTGGAGACCAGACCTCAGGTTTTGATTTTTGACCTTTCCTGAGTTGTTGATTGGTAGTACTGTTTGTTCTGTCTTGAGATCCCAGGCACAACCAGGCAGTCATAGTTACTGCATAAATGAGTAACACTCCATGGTCTGCTGTGTAGCCAAGCAGGATGCATGGGCCAGAGGGATAAAACGCATTTTTAATTCACAATGTTCTCTCTTTAGGATGGGTTTATCTGGATGTTATACCTCTGTGGTATTCTCTTAGGTAGCTTTCTGAAGAAGTTAGGCTGCTGAGCAGATGTCAGCAATCTTGACATAAATGTTTATGAGAGAAGTGGCTTTGTAAGCTCCTTAGGCAGATAAAGCTGAAGTGGGTTTTATGGTAAATGTGAGGAGCAGTTGAAATGCCCTCACTGGCCACAGTGGAACCGTCTGCCTCTCTTTCTCTCAGTGGTGGAGGCCAGGGGTGAGAAAGAGTAAAGGGTCCTGATCTCAGAGCTGAGGGAGTCAGAACCCAGGCTGATGGACAGTCAGAGCTTAGCATGGGAGTTTGTACTCTGCTAGATTAGTGGAGACCAGAGTTACCGGGCACGATCAGCAGCCTAATGTATCATCAGTAGCGTCCGCAACCCAGAATTTTTAGAAGGGGCTTTACAGATCAAATTTTTAGGGGTTTTAGAACTTCCTGAACTCTGTTTAAAAGCTTAGGGAAAGTTTGGCTGTAAGAAAAATGCACTTACATGGACAAGCAAATTACTCGTTTTTCTGTTTACATATGTGGCTCCTGTGTGTGTGTGTGTGTGTGTGTGTGTGTGTGTGTGTGTGTGCATGTTTGCATGTGTGTGGGCACATATGGAGGGTTGATATTGCTTTGCCACCTCATTCATTGAGGCAGGGTCTCCCAATCAAACCCAGAGCTCACTGATACTGCTAATCTCATCAGCTAGCTTACTCTGGGAATCCTCTCTCTGCCTTCCTAAACTGGAATTACAGGCAACCACTACACACCTGCTTGGCTTTTAGGTAGGTTCTGGGGATCCAAACTCCTACCCCTAGAGCAAGTACTTCAAATGTTTGTTTATTTTTATTTTATGTATATGGGTGTTTTGCTTGAGTATGTATGTCATGTCATGCACCATATGAGTACAGTGCTCACAGAGGCCAGAAGAGGGTATTGAATCCCCTGGAATTGGATTTACAGATGGTTGTGAGCCATCATGTGGGTGCTAGGAAATGTAGCCAGTGTTCTTAACTACGGAGCCACTTCTCCGGGGTGAGCAAAGAATTTTTAATACCATACCTAGCGGTTTGCGGATCTCCAGTTAGGAACCCAAGCTCTGACTCAGTCTCGGGTCTTTGTGAGGGGAGTCGCCCAGGTTTGTAGAGGAGGGGAAGTTGAGGGGCTCATGCTTAGTTCCTAAAGAAACCTCTTCTTTCTTTCAGCACTGGCTGGATCATTCGAAACCCATAAAGAAACAGATGAAAGGTAAGGCATAGACTCCCATCCGCTCATGTCATCTCCTTTCTTTCTTTCTTTCTTTCTTTTTTTTTTTTTAGAAACATGTCAGGGAACTCTTTTGTCAAGATTTTTGAGACCTTTTGACTTGTAAATAGAGCCGATGTTAAATGGATGATTTTTACTCCTTTAAACTGGCCAGAGAGTAGAGCTTTAGGACTGAATGAGTGTTTTGGGTAGATCTTGAACCACCCCCCACCCCCCACCCCCCACCCCCCCACCCCGTGCTCCCTTTTCACACCAGACACCCCTGCCAATGAAAACTGACTAATGTACTATTCAGAAACCTCACACCCACTTTTACTCACTTCCAAGTAAGTTTCAAAGCAGATTCAGAACGGAGAGTAGGAAGCAGGAAGGCTCCAGCTCATTCCTCACAGGTGTAGTAACTCTATTTTTCTAATGCTGCTTATGCTTAGGTCACTTGGAAATTACATTCTCTTAAAAATGCCTTAAGATATTTTTACTGTGTTTTGACTCGGCAGAACACTTCGCCTCCAGCCCACTTTGTACTTTGTAAAACATGGGTGCCAGTTTGGAGTAATCCCATCAGAGGATTACAAAATGCCAGCTCTTTTAACCACCCGGACCCTCAGGGGTTTCTGCCAGAGTGAAGTTCCCAGCTAAGCCATCCCTGTCAGCCTAAAAGTCTGGTTCCATTTTTCAAGCTCCAGATGGAGCGGTGGGCCTGCTGTCTTTGTGACGTGTTTCCTTTTGTCTGATGGGAGACAAACACCTTTACCTTTCTGTCTCCAAATGTCTAGTTGGACCTGCCTATGCTTTGCACTTTCGAGTCAAATACTATTCTTCAGAACCAAACAACCTTCGAGAGGAATTTACAAGGTAGGACCTCACACAGGCGATTCTGTCCAGTAGATTTGCCTCAGCCAGATTTTGGGGGGAGGGGAGTTTTTCAGTGGAAGACTCGATTCCTTTTTAGTTCTCTGTGTTTCTAAGCAAAAGTTAATAGCGCTTTCCTCAGGCTTCTCTACCCTGGTGAAAACCCACCAGTGGGCTTAATTTGATAATTTTCATAGGAATCTAATTAGATGGATTTTTCTTGGATCTTGGGAAAATGAAGGGTTCATCTATGGCATTTTGCCTTTGTCTCCATTACAAAAAAAACAAAAGGAGATATTGGGAGAAGGTTTCTTAGTCAAGAATAGCTTTTTTTTTTTTTTGGTGTTGCAAACCAATTCTGATTGTTCAGTGGAAGGAACCCTTTACTTCATACCACAGATTTTGTTAGGACCCTCTTATAGCTCTCAGCCCCACTAGATATTTTTATGTTGTAAGTGCCTATGTTTATCCCTTGAATTTACGAAACAATATAGAAGAAAAAAAAGGATATAAATAGGGATTGGAGTTTGGCGCTTCCTTTCCGTTCGTGGGTTCGTGGAATGCATCGTCGAGTTCTTGATATCACCAGAGTGTCCTTGTCACTGGCTTTGTGTGATGCAGTGTAGTAGTGACTTGTACATTGATGAATGGTCTACAACTTGGAGAGGACCACCTAAATGACATTTGAAAAGCTGTCACTAGTGCCCATGACAAGGGCCTTAGGGGCTTCTTCCGTTGGGTTTCCCTACAAGAATCAGAACTTTTGGCCACATGGACACCATGTGCAAATAACGCATGTCTGTGTCCTAAATGTCAGAAGTGGAAGTTCAGTTCTAGTTCAGGACCTATGGGGAAGCAGAAACTTCTGGAATGAGGTAGAACCTTTAGCCTCCCTGCCCACTTTGATTTCTGGGTCATCCAAAGTATATGGCCATTCTACAAGAAAGGACTGCCCACATGGCTTCCAAGGGTCAGCTCATTAAGGAGCTTCAGTGTTTCTCTTTGGAGGTCCTTATGAAATGTGTTGTCCCTAGCTGTCACGAAAGCTAGTCATGTTTAAGCCAGGTGTGTGAATCAAAAACACTAGGAAGTTTTTGGACAAATGGGGTTCCTGGGGACCACTCTGGAGTGTAGGATTCTAACTCTGTAGGCCTGGAGTAGAGTGTGGGAGGCTTTGGTTGGTACAGAGTGGTTCTGGTGCCCACATCTTCCTGGAAAGAAAGACTTTTTACTTAAGACTAAGACATTTATTTTATAGCGTGGTAAGCCCTGCTTATTTATTTATTTATTTATTTTTTGCTACTTTCCTTCTTGTTTCTTATTATCCCTGTAATTATCTGTAGTGTAATTCTAGGATTTTCGTGTGTGTGTGTGTGTGTGTGTGTGTGTGTGTGTGTGTTTTGCATGGTTTGCTTGTGTGTTTGGTTTGTTTGTTTTAAAGACCGAGTAGGCAGTTTAACTGCCCCAGGAAGAAAAGCCTCAAGTGGTTTCCAGCAGACGCTGCAGTCAGCTGCAGACTCTTTGAGAGAGTCCTGGAATCTGCTAGGTGTAGCGGGCCAAGTGCCGGCTCGGTGGTCACATCCTGCCCATTTTCTTAATGCACTGCTTGCCCGTGTGTGAGTTCTGTGTGCCTGTTGGGCTAGTTTCTCCTGCACCAAAGCCATCCTGCAAGTCACATCAGGCCTCCTGGTGTTGCATCCCTGCTCCAGCCTACAAGTATCTTGCAAACTCCCCATGTACATTTTCCTGCCAAGTGAGACCTTGGTTGCTTTTCCACAGGCTCAGAAGGAGGCTCCCACCTCCTCATTTGTTGGGACTCCCTTTTGACAGTGCAGGACGCCAGGACATGTGCAGGGGGATTTGCGATGGGAGGCTGGGGATTGGAGGCGGCTGGGAAAGGCAAGGGTTCCCCTCTGTTAACTTTTGTATATGTTTGTCAGGTACCTGTTTGTTTTACAACTCAGGCATGACATTCTTTCTGGAAAGTAAGTATGTTTTTGTTCTCTTAACCCAGCATAGAGCATAGTATTGCCTCAGTAACTCCCTGTTGGAACTCTTTTATGCTTTGTCCTCTTTACCAAATTCAAAAAAAGGGCACCAGGTCTTGTCATGTGAGTCAGATACTTGCGCTGCTGTCATTTTTGTCCTGGTGTAAAATGACTTCTATATGGCTTGGAGCCTTTCCAAGAGCATTGACTTTCTTGAATGATGTGTATCTGGGAACCACTTGCTCGCTGTCACATCGCTGCCCCATTCATACTGGCTTCTTTTGTATTTGCAAGCAGCACACATTGTTAACATGTATACATGTACAAGCGTTTGTGCAGTTTAAAAAGTCTCACCCATCACCATCACACTGAAGCATGTAAAGAGGTCCTTATCTGACTGCTAAGAAGAGCGGTAGACTCCTCCTCTCATTCCCTGTCCCATCTTAAAAGTGTTATTTAAACTCAAGGTATTGGGCTTATAGTGATCATTAACAAAACACATGATTATGTTATCACAACATTGTGTGGTTGGTTTTGAGGGTGCATTAATAGAGAAAGAAGGCTGACAAACTAACTTGGCAGGTAAAGGCTCTTGCACCCAAGCCAAATGACCTGAGTTCGATCCCCAGGACCTGAAAGTTATCCTCTGAACTCCATACACATGCTGTGGCATGTACAGTCCCCCCTAATATCTGATCAAGTGTACACACACACACACACACACACACACACACACACACACACAATCTTATCTATGTATATGAATAAATAAATAAATATAATTATAAAATTAGCTTTCATCATTTTCCATTAAGAGTTATTGAATATTTTCTGTTACATTAAAAAAAACCCGAGGTTGTGTTACGACTAAGAAGCAGTACCTGATGTTACCAATAGGAATATGTTCTGATTTTGAATGTAATCTGAAGGAAGTTTAATGGGTGATTTCTGACATTTGTGGTGGTCTGCACATCTAATCACAGAGCTGGGGAGACAGAGGCAGGTGGATCTCAGTGAGTTTGAGGCCAGCCTGGTCTACCTAGTGAGTTCCAGAACAGGCCAGAGCTACATAGTAAGAGCCTGTCTCAAACAACAAAACCAAGTATAAATCAGTTCTAGAAATAAAAATGTAAATGGAATATATAAATGAAATGTAATTTCCGTGTTTGCAAATTCTTAATAGAAAATGCTCTCTAAACATTTCAGTGTTGGGCAGGCCATAGAATGAGTAGACTGTACAGTGTATACATTGGTCTTACTCAGCCACGCAGTACGGGATTTGGTTGGTGTGTGTGCTGAGCATGTGTGTATTTTTCTCTGTCGATTCTGTGCTCCTCATACTAAAGGCCCTATAACTGTAGCATTTGTCTCCAGTTTGGCAGACGTTGATTGATGACAGTACTTCATATATGTCTGGTGCTGTGCATTTTGTCTCCACTCCCACCCAACTTACCTCCTAACAAAAACAGTGCTCTGAGGCCAGCGTTGCCTCCTGTCAGCTGGAAGACCTGGGCCGAGATGCTGAAGACTCCCTTTCTCATCTGGAAAATGAGAAGTCGGGCACTGGCTACACCCATCCTTAGAGTTTACAGACTACACATTGACTCAATGTGTAATACGTGAGAAGACCTTAAGAACTGTGAAGTTCTGTGCCAATGTCCATCATTGCTATTTTCCCAACTCACTTTGGAATTTGAATTATGAGTGAAATCACTGTATTTGCAAGAGTACTTTCCTGTGGTCCTGCCTCAGTTGGGCCTGTTAGAATACTGAGCACATATAGTGGTCCTGGAAGTAGTATATACAGTGTTGGTGTGTTTATTTTTACTATCCTGACTGTTTCAAGGAAGATTGAAGGCAGCTTAAAAAGTCTAATGGACTGCATCAAGAGAAAATAAGTTTAGGATAACTAAACATTCTGAGTTCTTTTCAAATTCAGTAGAAGTGTCTGCATGGTTGGTAGAACATATACTTGGATAGTTTCGTCATATGTGGAGAACTGCCCTGGGAAATTTGTAGAGTATATTAGTTTGTATTCTCTAACATAGACACCAAAAATGTAAACCACTAGCATCAGAACCCTTATGTAGACATGGTTGCCTTTTAAATGATTTTTTTTTTCCTAATGTTTGTTACATGGTTCCAAATGTAGAGCTTCCTATTAGTGTTAATTTCTTTCTTTCTTTCTTTCTTTTTTTCTTTCCCCAAGACTGAAGTGCCCCTATGAAACGGCTGTGGAGCTAGCTGCTCTCTGTCTGCAAGGTACATACATTCCTCTTTAAAATCTTAAAGTTACTGCTTTCATTTCAGTAAGAGAGACTCCCTGTATACCAGGCCCGGTGTCCTGCTTTCTCCCAGGATGTAAAGTAATATGATGTGACCTCAGTCCCCAGGAGCTTGTGGTCTGGTGGGGAAAATACACAGAGCATATGGCCGTTTTCCAGCAACAGAGATACAGAGGAGGCTTGGGAGAGGGGGACATTGGGGGACCGTGGCGAGGAAGGTGACTGGAAGAACCAAGGATTCTGAAAGTGTGAGGAGGAGGGGAGATGCAGCTCTTGCTTAGTGTGCACACAGCCTTGGGCTCCATCCCTAGTACTTCAAGTGTGGGATGGGGGTTTGTGTAATGAGGGGCTGATACAGACATAAGTCGGTCAAGTTGTGTGCACCACATAAAACCAAATGCGATAGTGCACACCAGTAATCCCAGCACTTAAGAGGTGGTGGTAGGAGAATCAGAAGTTCAAGGTCATTCTTAACTAGATACAAGTTTGAGGCCAGCCAAGGCTACATGAGGCCTTGTCTCAGAAAAAAAAACAACAACAAAACAAACAACAACAACAAAAAGCAAACAAACAACAATAAAGTCACAGAGATAGTCATCACAGTGTGAAGTTCAAGAAACTGGATTGCCTTTGACCCCACTTAAAGAATATGAACTTGGTGGGGTCAGCAGCAGTTCTTTGCATGTTCTTAGGGAGGCAGGCCTGGGTGGTGGGGATTTGGGAAAGAAGGGATTCGAAGAGTGAGGGCCGTTACTGTAACAGAGATAGTAGGGAGCTGAGCAGGGCAGGTGGGTGTGCACACAGTCACTGCAGCCATGGTGGTGCCGGAGCAGGAGTCCCTGATGAGCCCTAATGTAAGAAGGGAGTTGGGCATGACTCAGGCTGCTGCTGGGGGTAGGTGGTGGCATTGATGAGTGAGCAGAGGAAAAGGAGGTTCCCGGGGAGTGAGTGGCCGGTGTGGACCTCGGCCAAGAGGTGCTGAAGTCACCAGCTTGCACGTGGGAACTGGGTGGCAGGAGGCCTGCCTGTAGGACCCGCCATCCGCATTGACTGTTTATCTGTGGGAGGTGCTGGTGGATCTTCATTTTAAATGCATGAGAAACGCTTGCTTAATTCTCCAGCACTAATTAAGAGAATGGGGTTTCATTAGCATGTGCTTAGCAGAGTGCATTCGCTGGGTTATGATGTGTGACATACCCACTCATAGTATTTGTGAACGCCCTAAGATTTTGCTTTGACAATTTTTTATATTTATTTATTTATTTATTTATTTATTTATTTATTTATTTATTTATTTATTTATTTATGTGTGTGTGTGTATGTGTGAGTGAGTGACAGTGTAAGTGTGGTAGGTTGTTGGACAGCTTTGGAGAGTGGTTCTTTCCTTTCATGTGTGGGTTCTGGACATCCAGCTCAGCGTGTCAGGCTTAGTAGCAAGTGTCTAGATCTGCTGAGCCATCTCACCAGCTTATATTTTACTAATTTAAGAAAAGCTGATCTGAGAAGTGTCACAAGGTCGATCACATGATTACAGACTCTGGGTAGCACAGCACAGTAGTCAGGCAGGTCAAAGAAAGCACGTGACGTCCCATCTGCCACCCACCAGCACCTACATCCTCTGTTAATAAGTTTAGATTGATATTTTGTTGTTGTTGTTTTGTTTTGTTTTGTTTTTCAAGACAGGGATTCTATGTGTAGCCCAGGTTGTCCTGGAACTCACTTTGTAGACCAGGCTGGCCTCAAACTCACAGAGATCGACCTGCCTCTGCCTCCTAAATGCTGGGATTAAAGGCGTGTGCCACCACCACCTGGCTTAGATTTTTTTTTTTTTTTTAAAGAAATGTAGTTCAGATTATCGGAAATTTTTGTGTGTAGTTTTTTTTAGTATTTTTGTTACATTTTAATTTAGTATGTATGCATGCACGCACAAGTACAAGTGCGAATGCTCTTGAAGAGATCAGAGAACAACTTGCAGAAGTTGGTTCTCTTCTTCCACGGTGTGGGTCATGGGGCTCGAACTCAGGTCATCAGTTATCTGCTGAGGCATCCCACTGGCCCTGATGGCTGTTTTTAGTCATTGTATGTTGTCACATTGATACCTGTAAAGACGTTTTGTTGATAGTGGGTATAGTCCCGTTCCTGGATACTTCTGGTCCATCGTCACCTCCTCACAGATGCTCAGTTAGTGCAGGAGGAGAGGGGTGAGCTTGGAGCCGACTGTGACATACAGGGCCGCATGCTTCCTCTCCCTGTGTAGGCTGATGCAGCAGGTCTCCTGGTGAGTGCCATGGTGTGGACAGAATTGGAGACATGGCAGAGGCTCCTGGCTCCCTGTGTGGGCCAGATGCAAATTTTACCAGCATAGACAGTAGCCTTCATCTGCACTGGTTCCTGAGCTTTTCAAGAGGCCTAGTCAGGCTTGGCAGCCCCGGAGGATCTGTCGGGGTAGGGTTAATGAAAGGAAAGCACCCGAGCACCCGTGTCAGGCCTGGGGCCATTAATCACTGCAGAAGCTTCCTCCTGAGGCTATTGGCATAGTGTTGCAAGCCTGTCCTGCTGTCCTGAGTGATTAGAGGAGGAGGCCTGCCCCAGCCCTCGCTGGTCCCACTGTAGGGAGACCGTGAAAGCAGCCTGGAGAAGAGTACAACCACCCATAGCGGTAGGAAGATTTAAGGCGCCGTCCTTACGTCGGGTACAGATAAATCCTGGGAAGACTGAGGGACACACACGGGAAAGCCTCATCACATTGTCATTCCGTTCCCATGGTCTCACCTGCTTCCCTCCGAAGCCCCGCCTGCAGCCCTGCACTGGGATAACTAGCTCCGCTGTCGGTGTGAACAAAGGGAAGGGCAGAGTTTCCTCTGGTGGTTGAGCCTTTAAGGCCTAGCTTACTGTTGCTCCTGAATTAACAGTGCCCCCTGCGTTGAGCGACTGTGGCCTTCCACGGAGGATGTGCTCTTTGGGGAATACATTTGTGGTGCATTTGAAAATCAATCCAAGTGAAAGGCTAAAAGGGATTTGAGATCGTCTGTGGCATGGTATGCTCCAGTTTGGTCCATGTAATAACTCCCCTGTCTCAGGTAGAGACCACAGACCTGGAACCGCTTAGTGATTTGCCCAGGGACCCACAGACAGCTACGGCAGGGTTGGGGCTTAGTCGGTCTTACAGCTGAGCCGTTTCCCTTCCACAGTCTCCACAGAGCCAGAGCCTGGCTGCAGAACTGGGAGATTCTTGGAGTGCCAAGTTCTTTCAGCATGTTCTTGGAAGACACTGGTGTCCCAGGTGCTGCTCAGGCCTGCTTTAGGCCAGCAAAGGCTAGAAGGGACACTGCCCTCTTCCTCAGTGGTGTCTCTGGCATTCTTAATCTTGACAGTTTCAGACACCACTAAACACAGGGTCCCATTGAGTCGTATTTGCCTGTGGGTACATGAAACACCATAGGAATCTCTTTTCAGACTGTACAAAGCTTAGTTAGCGCTTGCCAGGCGCTCACTCCACAGTGACCTCTAGGACTGAGGTGAGTGGTGGTCTCTAGCTGGGGGAGCCCAATCCCACTCCCTTTCTGGCTATAGATTGTTTCTAGAAGAGAATTTCATGTGTGTGCCCCTGCCCAGGGTCAAAGGCTGCTGCATGCCCTGACCCAGACCCTTCTACATCTTGGTCTAAGGGATGTGAAGGATGGCATTCAAGTGGAAAGGTATTTGCCAGGTCACTTCTCTCTGTCAGGCATTGTCTTGTAAAGGCAGAGTCTCCTTGAATTTGGTTTTATTGCTTCCTCTGCATGAACAAGAACTGTTTGGTTTAGTGTGTTGAGACTGGGTCTCACTTTGCCTAGCCCAGACCTTGACCAAGAGAACCTCCTACCATAGTTTATCTCATTGACACACCACACTTGGCTACAAGGACGTGTATCCATTCTGCAAATCAAATGAAGTCCCTCTTCCTGAAAGTTGGGCCATGAGATTTTTGGTCCTCAGAAGCTACATGCTGGCCATGCGTGGCCTAATGGGGTGGTAAGGTGGTCGTATATAGTGAGCTGCTGCTGTCCCTGCAGGTTCCTGAGCATGTGTGGCTCCATCCACTGGTAGATTCGATGTCTGAGGCATCAGGTTCCAGGCTTTCTCCCATTAGCAGGCCAGCTATGTCAACGCCACATGGGAATTTGTTAGAATACAAATCGGATGGAATAGGAATGTAGCCCAGTTTGGTAGTGAGTGCTTGCCTAGCATGTCTGAAGTTCTGAGTTTCAACCCCACCCCCACCCCACCCCCACGCATACAATCAGCCTTAGTGGTGCACTCAAGAGGTGAAGGTAGGTGGATCAGAGGTTGGAGGTCACCCACAGTAACACTCAGTTGTGGGCCCGGCTCCACATCAAGATCAGCAAATCTGGGCGTGGGGCCCAGTGATGTTCTGTTTTCATGAGCCCACCAAATGATGTTTTTGCACTCTTAAGTTCAAAAACAACTGCTGTGGATCCCTGCCTTTCCAAGGAAAGTGCCCCAATCCCCAAGGGTCTTGTGAAATGGCAGGCAGTGATGGCTGGGCTGTTCCTGGATGGGCATGCAAGTCTGCATGGTGATCCAGCCCCTAGGTGGCATCTCCACGTGCTAATCTGAAGCCCACACTTACTGTAACCAGGTTGTAAGAGGAAACTGGGGGATTCTTCTTATTCTGAAGTCTGGAGGGGTCAAGTGGATTTTCTTGTTCATGCCTCAGAGGGATAGGGCCACCGTGTCCTTGGGCCCTCTTGTTTTGCGGCTTGGCAAGAGCGGGAACCATGCAGTGTGCATTGGGCTCTTAGCCGGGAAGGGTCCTGTTGCTCTCCATCCCTCTTTCACGTAACCGTCTCCCTTCACCCCTTCTCTGTTCTGCCTGGCTCGCCGCTACCACAGCCTGCTGCTCACCACGCCTTCCCTGCGGCTTTATCCCTCACTCAGATTCTGCATGCACCAAATTCATGACCCATCCTTCCCAGCCCTGCACACGCTAAAACGCTGCTCTGACCCATGCTTAACGAGAGCCCTGTGCAGAAGAGGCTCTCAATGGGCAGATCCCCATGGCCTGCAAACACCTTTTATTGCAAGTTTCCACTTCCCGGGGAAAGGTGAGCCAGGCCTCCTTCCTGGGAGAAGCAGTGAGGGGAAAGCCAGTAATGACTAAGGTGATGGTGTACTTCTCTATTGGGGGTGTTAGAATGACTCCCAGGGATGCCGAGGGAAGCCGATAACAAGAGGGCTCTGCCTCAGGGGCACCCACCCGTACTTTCTGATCGGAAAGAATGCCTGTGGGTTCAGTCGCAGCCATAACCCAAAGTGCTCAGTCTCTTCTGTTTTCCTCCCTTTTATAAACCACACAGCGGAGCTGGGGGAGTGTGAGCTCCCGGAACACACACCGGAGCTTGTGTCTGAGTTTCGTTTCATCCCAAATCAGACAGAAGCCATGGAATTCGATATCTTCCAGAGATGGAAAGAGTACAGGTACCTCCATGCGCCTCTTTCGTGGTCTGAACTGCTTGTTGATTTGTCCCGTGTGCCTGTCAGACCCTTCTGAAAAACTGTTGCATGACCTTGTGCAGCACAGCATACCCTTTGCCTCACAGAGAGGTGCTCAGTTAATGATGGGTTGTAGCCTCTCCCCTGAGCTTCACACCTGTTTCCAAAAGGCCCACATGTTACCTCTCTTCTGAGAAATGTGCAAAGGTCAAGCCATGCTATTTTCTGTCACTGAAACACATAGCTTCTGTCTGATTGGATTGTTTCTTACCAGCGACACCCCAGGTGTGGATAAAACACCGCGCTTACAAGGTCCTGTCCATCCCGGGCAGTAGTTCTCAACCTTCCTAATACAGTTCCTCATGTTGAGGTGACCCCTAACCATAAAATTATTTCGTTGCTACATCGTAACTGTAATTTTGCTATTGTTATGAATTGTAATGTAAATATCTGATATGCAGGGTATATGCTATGTGACCCCCAAAGGGGTCTCGACCCGCAGATTGAGAACCACTGTCCTAGAGCAAACTTTTTAAAAAATATAGGTGGAGCATCCCTAACTCTCAAATACTGAATCTAAAATGTAAAACTTTTGAGCGCTAACCTGGTGATACATTTGAAAAATGCACACCAGGCCTTAGGGGCAGGCTGATCATAGGGACAGTTTTTAAGTACGTATGACATCAGCTCCAGGACCTTCAGTTTTATGTATCAGATGAATGTGACATACGTGACTCACATTCAGAGCTGGGCCTTATCCTTTATAGCATCTCACTGTCCTCACGCTAGTATTTGAAAATCTGGAAAAGGAAAAAAAAAGGGGGGGGGGAGCCACAGATACTTTTGGTCTCACACATTCTGGGTCAGGAGGACTTAGCCTGTCACCCTACAGTGAAATGGTAAGACCATGTGACATGCAATATTCTTGTATGTCCAAAAGTGTGGTGTTTACGTCTTCCCTAATCTAACATACTTGTTTTTGTTTTGCCTGGACTAGTAAGGCAGTTTGCCAGTGATGTACACACATGCACGCGTGCGTGCGCGCACACACACACACACCACACACACACACACACACACACACACACACACACACCACACACACACCACACACCACACACACACACATTTGCACTCGAGCAAACACACATCACAAAGCACCTGTTCCTAGTTACTCTTGGACTTAACTTAGTGTGACCTTCTATTGTCCCTCAGTCCTCCGGTGACTTTTAAAATAAAAGATGGTATGAATGTTGTTATCAAATGATAGGGAAGTTTGCAGATGTGCAGGCAACGTGTCCCACCTACTCTCTCACACGCAGCCTCCTTTCTCCCAGAGGAAGGCCAGGAGGAACAATCTTTCCCTCTGCCTTAGGGCACACTCTTGTTTTCTTTTTCTTTTTTCGTTTTTTGAGACAGGGTTTCTCTGTGTAGCCCAGGCTGTCCTGGGACCCACTCTGTAGCCCAGGCTGGCCTGGAACTCACAGAGATCTGCCTGCCTCTGCCTCCCAAATGCTGGAGTTAAAGGTGTGCCACTGCCCAGTATACACTCTGGTTTTCTTAGGTTTTCCTAGGAAACACCATCCTGTGGTCTTCCTGTTCAGCTGCCATGGGGTTCTTAGAGGTCTTTTCTGTCCTTATAAACTTGTGTTCTCCATTGCTATAACTGTTGCATGACCTTCGGCAGCCCAGTGGTCTCCTCAGATCCCGCGGGTGTGTGGGGCCCAGTTTACATGTGTCTCCATTGGTTTGTTTTTTTCCTAAGGGGAAAGAGCCCTGCCCAGGCAGAACTCTCCTATCTCAACAAAGCAAAGTGGCTGGAAATGTATGGGGTGGACATGCACGTCGTCAGGGTAAGAACTCTGTGTGTTTTCGTCATTTTATCTGGCTGTTTCTGAGAAATGCATAGTGTGCCAACGAAGTAAATTGTGGCGAGGAAATTGTGTTTGCATTCTTCTCTGTGACGACCTGTTAGAACCCTCTACCGACTGTCACTTCGTTTGTTTGTAGGGAAGAGATGGCTGTGAATATTCTCTTGGACTGACCCCGACAGGCATATTAATCTTTGAAGGAGCTAACAAAATAGGCTTATTCTTTTGGTAATTTTAGTTTTGTCTAATATTAAAAATGTCTTTTCCTATTTTGTGTTGGAAAGTCTATATGTGATGGATGATTCTGAGGGGTATTTGCAACACCCAGATTCGCTTTAAAATAAAAAAAAATCACACCATCCCAGTGTCATTGTGGGTGTGTGGCCGATGCACTGAACCTCTAGATAATCATATTTAAATGAATGAATGATGATTTCCTTTTCTTAGCCAATCTAAACTGTCATAAGTAGAAAGGAAACTGATGTGTAGACTACAGTTTGGCTGTAGACTGCCCTTTTTTAAAATGCTTTCTCTCTGACCAGGCCTAAGATTACCAAAATGGACTTTAAAAAGAGCAAACTGACCCTCGTAGTCGTGGAGGATGACGACCAGGTAGGCTGTGCTCCACCCCCCCCCCCCCCCCCACCCCCCCGTGTCCTCCCTGTGGCCACTCACCCACGTCCCTGTGACACGGGCCCCCACGAGGACCTTGGCTTCCTCCCCCAGGGGCGCGAGCAGGAGCACACGTTCGTGTTCAGGCTGGACAGCGCACGCACCTGCAAGCACCTGTGGAAGTGTGCCGTGGAGCACCACGCCTTCTTCCGCCTGCGCACGCCCAGCAACAGCAAGTCCACCAGATCGGACTTCATCCGGCTGGGTTCCCGCTTCCGGTTCAGGTTGGCAGTTGCTTTATGGCGTGGGGGGGCAGCTGTTTCAGAGAGTGACAGCTCCTCTTTCCTGCGTGTGAATGTAGCAGCGGATTTGTGTCCGTCTGTCCGTCCGTCCGTCCGTCCGCGTGGGTTGTTTGCCCCACCCCCACTTCCTTGTCAAGGTCCCTGCCCTTTAGGTCTGTCCAGTCACAGCCTCTTTTGGCTTCCGTCACTTTACCGATCACATGGAACTGATGTGGGGTGAAATCCTGGGTGCCGGGAACGTTTTGATGTTGACATTTTTCTCAGCTTGGAACTGTTTGCCAGTATTTGAGCTTAGGGCCCTGAACGTTTTGGATTGGGGGGTGAAGTGTGCTCAACCTGTAATAACAAAATTTCCGGGCCTGTACCTACAGCTAGAGTAGTGCTGTCCGGTGCAGTGGCCTCTAGCTACGTGGCAGCTACTGGAGTTGGAAACTAGAGTGCGTTGACCTCAACCAGCCTCATCTCCGGTGTGCAGTGGCCACATGAGGTGGCTGCCTTGTGAGTCGGGCAGACGCAGTGCATAGAGTCATTGGAGGAGGTTCTGTTGATTCTGCCTCACTCGAACTCCTCACGACCCACTCTTAACCCTAGAGGCAGCCTGGTTAGGCTGATCGAGTGTCCCTGTTTTAACTCTCTGCCTGCCAAATGGATTAGAAGTGTGCCCCGCACACCTGGCCTTGGTGCTTCTATTTGTTTGTGTGCACGCATATGTGCGGTATTGTGTGCGCGTCCTTCACGTGCAAGTTTTCCTGGAGACCTGAGAGTGGCTTAAGTGTCTTCCTCCACTCATCTCCATCTCATTTTCTGAGACAGGGTCTCACTGAGAGCTAGGCTGCTGCTGACCTCCAAAGATCTGCTTATTTCCACCTTCCCAGTGCTAGGATTGCAGATTGCAAAACAGCACCCTGCTGTTGAGATGGTGCTGGGGATCTGAACTCGGATCTTCATGCATGTGTCAGTACTTAACTGACATCATCTTCCCAGCCCTGGCTCTTAAATTTCTCACTCAGTACTTCACTGCCTAAACATCTTTCCGGCCTGCTTCCTTCCTTCCTTCCTTCCTCCCTCCCTCCCTCCCTCCCTCCCTCCCTCCCTCCCTTCCTTCCTTCCTTCCTTCCTTCCTTCCTTCCTTCCTTCCTTCCTTCCTTCCTATATTCCTTTCTTTTTTGAGACAGGATTTCTTTGTGTAGTTCTGGTGCCTGTCCTAGATCTCGCTCTGTAGACCAGGCTGGCCTCGAACTCACAGAAATCTGTGCTGGGATTTAAGGCGTGTGCCGCCGACGCCGACGCCACCACCACCACCCGGCCCAGCCCTGGTTCTTACATTTCTCACCATTGCTAAGAGATTTGGTAATGATTAAGGATGAGAGCAGTGTGTGTGTGTGTGTGTGTGTGTGTGTGTGTATTTGAATCTGAAAAGAGCCTGAATAAATAGCTTATTCTCACATATTTTCACTTTTAAGTTTAAGACTAGCGCATCCGAATTCCTGGGGCATCTTTAAAAATGAAGATACATGGCCTTTTAACCAGAGTCTGTGAATGTGTGCATGTGGGTGTCAGCCCTTGGAATGTGAATTTTCTTTTTTTAAATTTTATTTGTTTATGTGTATGGGTGTTTTGTCTACATGTATGTTTGTGCACCGTGAAGAGGCCAGAGAAGGTGTCAGATGTCCTAAAACTAGAGTGACAGACGATTGTGAGCTGCTATATGGGTGCTAGAAATTGAACCTGGGTCCCCTGGAAGAGCAGCCCACGGAGCCATCTCTCCAGCCTGGAATGCACATTTCGAGAATCTCAGTTACATGGTAGAGAATTTCACTCGGTTTCGTAACCTCTGCCCACACGTGGCATGTCCCTGAACTCTGTTGGAAATGCCAGAAGTGTTGCTCACTTCAGATTTATCTACCGTGCAAGGAAGCGGCTGTACGTTCCTGTTTAAAGAATAGTTTTTGTTTGAGTGTATTTTTTAAAGTGCTCTAAGGAAGGGGAAAAGAAGAGCGAGTCCTTGAGGAAAAAGAATCGCATCTCCAGGCCCCGGGAGGAGGGACATATCGGTGTGGCAGAGGTTGGCAGAACCGCCGCAGTCTGCCCGTACCCATGTGGATTTGGAGTTGGGTGGAGAGGGCAGTCGAGGAGATTGCCAAAATAAGTAGGCTTCTCCCTCCTGAGGAGATGCTCCAGGGATTGGCTCAGACCTAGTGACCTTTGTTCCTCAAGGAGAAATGAAGAAGGAGGGGCAGTTTGGAGGTGAGGCTGCCCCGGGAGGCATCTGGAGCAGGTAGCATTTGGATCCTTCCATCTGAAAAACCAGCCAAGAGCCACTGGACTGGAGCAGTGATGGGTGGATCAGCAAAACACAGCGACCCTTCTGGAGCTGCAGCTGGCTTCACAGTGGTTGGGTCTGGAAAGCAAAGAAATTGGAGACATTTCCTTTGGCGCCTTGCAAGCGAAGCCAGGGTTTAGTTTAGGGGGCTGCTACAACAGCCTCGGAGGCGATGTGAAATGCTGAGTGTCTCTATGGTGTTCCGTGAGAGGTTATTCCGTGTCTAATCAATAATCTTCATCGAGGGATCTAAGTACTCGGACTTATTTGGTTTGAGCAACCAAGTGGTTGGTACTTAAATTGTAGGTTTTACCCTTTGGTAGAAAGAGATTTTTGCCCCTGTGCCTGGCTTGGCAAAGGAGACTGTATTTCCAAGTAGAAGCTTTAAACTTAGCATGTCTTTACCAGGTGAGTTCATGCTAAGTTGAAATGCATGCTGGAGCTCTTGGAAAAAAAAAGAAGATATTCACTTGCACTAGCTGTGGTATGCTGAGAGCTGGTATTGGCGCTAACGTGCAAATCAAATATTTCCTTCCCAGCGGGCGGACGGAATACCAGGCAACACACGGCTCCAGATTGCGAAGAACCAGCACCTTTGAGAGGAAGCCTAGCAAACGTTACCCGTCCCGGCGACATTCCACATTCAAAGGTTATACAGTGTTCCTTCCTTGCGGACGGACGTGTTGCAGTGGGTCGGTGGGTCGGGTTGACTAGGGAGGAGTTACGGCCGGTACCTTCTGGTGTTGGAAAGCTGTAGGAAAAGAATGTCCCGAGTCTTGGTGGACCTCGCCCTCCAGCTGTAACCTTTCCCCCACCCAGCGTGCTCCTCTGCCTCTCCTTGTCTGTCTTCCTTCGACTGGGCCTCTCCACCTCTTTTAGGCCTGGATCCTCAACAGTCTCACCCTTGCCCATAGGAGGCACTGCGTCCATTGTCTCCACTACCTTGCCATTCCTGGTGGGGACATCGGGCGCATGCTCACCAGAACTGTGGCCAGAGAAGAATGGATGCGGAACCTGCAGAGACGTAGTTCAGGTCCCCCGGGGTCAGTCCCCTGTCCCTGAATATTGCTGCACCCCGTGGCGCGGTTCCCCTGCTCAGAGTTCCCCGACCCTGGTGTCTGTTCCGGCTCCCACCTGTGTGAGGCCTGAGACAGGGTGTGTCAGGCAGTACCTGGGCACTCAATGCTACTTAGGCTGGGTTTCGTAATCGTAGCTTGAAGTCCTGTGTAGCTCACTTCTCTACACGGATTGCTCCTCCTTCGGGCACACTCCAGTTAGCACTGAATTGTTTGTCCTTTTCCACAGCAGGGCCACTGCACCCAGCCTCCGCCACCCTCCTAAACTTGTTATTCTGTACGTTTTTCTTGCATAGCCTGGGATTTAATGGGCCTCTGTGGAAACCTGCTTATGTACCTGTGCCTTCTAGAATCTTCATCCTTTGTCTCCCTCTACCCTGTTTCCTAATATTATGAGTCAGTAGCACAGTATGATGACTGGCAACAGGTCTTAAGTCATCCTCGGCTGCTTTAGTGGGGGAAAAAAAGCCAAGAGCCCCCAAAATATGTCCTTAACTTTAAGAGAGGCCAGGGAGCCAGGTAGTGGTGGCGCACACCTTTAACCCCGACACTTGGGAGGCAGAAGCAGTCAGAGCTTTGTGAGTTGGAGGCCAGTTGGTCTACAGAGTGAGTTCCAGAACAGCCAGGGGTCCACAGAGAAACCCTGTCTTGAAAAAAACCAAACCAAACTAACAAACAAAAATCACAAACAAGGGAGGTGGGTGGAGGGCAGGAGAGGAGACAGAGAGGGGAGGCTGCAGTCGGGATGTAAAATAAATGAAAAATTTTCATTAATAAAAAAGAAAAGAACAATTCACAAGCAAAAAGAAAGGCCGGGGACTGGGGACACATTCCAAGAGAAGGTGATACCTGATGAAGGGTGACTGCGGGGAGCATCGGGCCGGTCTAAGGGAGCAGCAAGGGGTGAGAACTCAAGCGGGATCATTGTCTCCATTAGCAGAACCACACTTGGGTGATCAGCAGTTCAATGTGATCCTCAGTTACATAGCATTTGAGGCCGGCCAGAGCAATGTAAAACTCTGCCCCCCTCAAAAGAAGAGAAGTGTGTAGGGCAAGTTAGGGATATAGTTCAGTGGAAGCAAGGCTATGGCTTCAATCCCCAGCATCACACAAAAAGAAAAGAAGAGTAGTTGAATAAATGTCTTTTTTATGCAGGCTCTGCCTCTACCCCATCAAAAGTGCCTGCTCCAAGTTCTTCCCTAGATGCTGCTGGTATTTCATCCTTCATCATGTTATATTGCTTTTCCGTCTCTGCCCAGGACCCCCCAGCTACTCCGGTGCAAGGACCGCCCTGTGGTTGCCTCCTGGTGCTTGCTTTGTGGGCATCCTGGCACACCCAGCCCTGGGAGCCTGCTTCTAGAGTTGCCTCGAGAACTAGGGAGGGACAGCGTGTATTAGCGGGAGGGCTCAAGCCCTCAGGAAAGACGAGCCGGAGTTCAGGGCTGCCTGGCTTGAGATGAGGGCTGTGCTCTGATCGAGTGGTCTCTGCCCAGTCATTCTCCCGGTGTTATTGCGTAGTCAGTGTTTTCAAGTTCTGCATAACCTCCCGTCCTTTCTTTACAGCAAGCAACCCCGTGATTGCCGCTCAGCTCTGGTAAGTACCCCCCCCCCCCCGGACTCCCCAGCACACCTCTCCCCTCTAATCACCACGGGTGTTAGCAGTTGTTGACTTTCTCCTCAATACAATTAAATCCAAGTGACTCACCTGATAACTTTTTTTTTTCTTCCTTTTTCTGCTGCCTGGCTACCCCATCCTCCCAGCTTTCAAAAAGCATACAACAGAATGTTCCGAGGCTTTCTTGTTGCAAAACAGCTGTTTTGTTTGAGTAGCACAGTGCTTTGTTTGTTGTCACCGTGGTAAGGTGGCAGCCAGGCATGCATGCAGCACGTGCAGTGATCGTGCGGCAGGTGGGGGGGGGCCGGGGGACCGAAGGCCCCGCTGCTGAGCAAAGGTTCGCAGCAACAGGTGCTGCCTTGTCCAGTGACCTGCAGGTACTAGGAGACATGAAACACCCCCGAGGGCTGGAGAGATGGCCCCGTGGGTGAAGGCGCTTGCTGTGCAAAGCCGTGAGACCCGAGTAAAGGTGGAAAGAGAACTGGCTCCACAGAGCTGCCCTCCGACCTGACCTCCACACGCGCCCCGTGGCATACACACACACCACGCACACAGACATACAACGATAATAAAAGCAGGCCAGCAAGTAAATAAGCCACCTCTAGGAGTTTCTGCAGGATAATAACTGTGTCACAAGACTGAAAACCTCCCGTATGGGACTTTGTAAGCTTCTCGTCGTGGGGCAGATCAGAAATATTTTGAATTCTGGGCTGTGACAAGTTTTTCAGAACTATTCAGTGCTGCTGTAGCAACACTGAAGCAGCTGTAGACAATATGCAAACGGATGAGCATGGCTGTGATTCAATAAAACTTTATTCATAAGTACCAGTCGGCCACATTTGGCCCTTGGGTCAAATTAGCTGCCTCTTCCCTAGCGTGACCCTGCCTCCCGTGTCTGGAATTCCCTGATAAGCTATGAAACATCCCCCTTGGGCGGGACAGCCTTGGGCCATATGAATACTTATACACATGTGGGGATGTGGGCATTTGTCCTTCAAAGCTTCCCTGGTAAGGTTAGCGCGGCCCCTAGGGGAGAGCCACTGCTGTACCTATTACCTGCCTTCTGTCCCCTGTCGGGAACCAGTCCTTTTCCTCTGTAAGCGTGACATGCCAGGAGCAGCTGCCCTGTGAGAGAACAGTTGGTAGATCATTGGTTCTGAACTGCAGGCTGAGGCCTCAAGTCTGACAGGGCAAAGGTGGTGGTGGTGGCGGCTGTTGAGATGGGTGCAGACGGCCTGTGCTCTGTACTCTCATCCTGGCAGACAGGGCATGAGCTCAGGGTCATCACTGCCCTGGCGAGCATCCAGAGCTCCACCCGAGGCCTCAGGAGCCCCCTCCATAACAGCTTTTTCCAGTGCATGCCGGGGCCTTTGGCCTCTACCTGCTTTGCTTCCGTTTTTCTCATTTGCAGGCAAGGAGCTTGGACTAGGTCTGTGTTCTCCCCAGTTTTTTTTTTTAGCTTGTGATTTTTACACTCTACCACCATCCCCAAGAAGCCTGACTTAAAAGCAAACAAAACAGACGGGAGCAGAGAGCTACTTGTGGGTAGGGAAGAACTAAGGCCCACCTGTTCATTGGCTTCCTCCCCACTTTAGGAAGCACTGAGATCCCTTTCAAGGAACCTCGGGTTCTGGAGAGCAGAATTAGCAAAGCCTCAGGTTCCAGGGTGTGTTTGCAGACAGGCTGGCCTGGCCGTGCTGTCTGCCTTCTGCATCTGATGAAGGGGTGGGAGAATCCTCCTGAATTCGGCCCATAGCTATGGCGGTATGGGGTGTGATACAGTGTTCTCAGGTCTGCAGGTGTGCCCTCGGCCTCGGGGTCTCTGGCAGTTATGGTCTGAACAGGCAGCAAGCTGAAAACGGCTGACGGTTTTCAGCCTGACAGGTCCTGTTTTTTAATTCTCAGGAGATTGTAAGCTACAGTATGTCTTGCTTTCTTAGGAGGTGATTATTTTGTTTGTTTGTATTTCCCTGATAAAGTGACATTTCCCTCTTAGAATCTAGGGGAGATTATACATGGGGAATGAAAACAAACATAACAAACAATCGCCACACACACACTAAAGTGTCAGTAAATATACCCTGTAGGAACAAATGAGTTAATAACCGCTGTTTGCAGCTGTTCAATTGCTCTTCCCAGCCTGTGGGATCCTGGGTGAGTAGAATTGCTGTGGGGACCGTGGATGAAGTTGTGCTGGGAACCTCAAAGGTACTGCTGGAAAAAGAGCACCTTGTGGAGCACTTCACCCACCTGCTGAGCCAGCCTGAGCTCTGGCACAGAGCCTGGCTTCACTGCCAGTCCTCTCTGAAAACTGACTGCAGATCCAGTGTAAGGCTCAGAACAAAGATGCCCCCCTCCTCTGTTAGAGATGCAGTAAACCTTCATTCCAGGCACCCTAGCAACAGTGACTGCCCAGTGATTGTTCTGGGCCTGTGAGGTTTCGAGTAGGTACTGAGCTTGCATCTTATGCAACAAATGTTCCCTCTCTCTCTCCCTCCCTCTCTCTCCCTCCCTCTCTCCTCCTCTCTCTCTGTGTGTTTGTATACACACACACACACTACATATATATACATATATTTCACACACATATGTATGCATACATATGTGTTTATATTTGCCAAACCAGTTCTAAATAAGATTCTAGTCAAATTAGACCCCACTTGAGCTCTGAACTTTCCCACAGACCCTCCAAGAGCCCGCTAGATTTGGTGGAAAGAAAATAGGGTTTGGGTCTGAGCAGATGTTGAATCAACCCTGGCTCAGGCATTGACTGGCCAGTGATTCTTAGTAGGTTTCCTAACTCTCTGTGAAGCCACTGGTCCTTTGACTGTGGATTGAGGTGGTAGGAAACGCCACGGACATCGTCACCCCCTTAAGTAGGTGAGTGACAGGACAGAGGCTTGACGTGAAGGAACATTCCCCACCAGTGCCCAGATCAGCTCCGGTGTCGTTGTGGGCCGGGGGCTCGTGTGGGATTCCTCACAGTGGCTGTGGTAGGTGTCTCGGAGAAGCTGGTACCTCTCCCTTCAGCTGCCAGAGGCTCTGTGCCATCCCTAGATTGCTAGCCTCCGGGGCAGTGCCAGGGAGGGCCTGCGGTGGGAATGAACCTGCTTGGTTTGTGCTGCTGGCAGGAAACCCACAATGTCACAGCTGCTCTTTTGCCCATTCCTGGGGTGTTTATGCTGGTGAGCCTTAAGCTGGTGAGTGGAAGTCGCTGTTTGTGGCTTCCTCGATTGTCTATGTTCATGTAAGTTCTAGGAACCAGCAAAGAAGTGGTGTGCAGCTGTTCCTAATGGAGTAGGGAGTCCGTGGGATTAGTTACGGCTGTTAAGTAGATCTATCATAATGCCTCCTTACAACTGGTAAAATGATGTTTTTCTTTTTCTTTTTAGCTCCAAAACAAATCCTGAAGTCCATAATTACCAGGTGAGATGCTGTGTTTGAGATGTTTCTTAAAGTTTCTGAATTCTGTGCGACGGAGCAGTATGTAGTAACATCATATGTTTGTTGGGTTTTGGTTCACTCTTCTTGTTTCCCAGAAAACTCAGAGACAGATCCTCCCGCCCTGACCCCTGTTCCCTCCTAGTCATCCGAAGTGCCTGGTTTAACCTTGTTAACTTGCAAGTGCCAGGGACATGTAGTTATGTTTCTGGTTGGTCAGGCCCAGCCCCTCAGCAGCATTCGAGTGCATGCCTTTGTGAAAACATTCTGTGGGCCTGGCAAAGGCAAGCCCTTGAGACAGGCTTCCAGAAGGGAAGATTCTGCCTCTTCTTCATGTGTCTTCCTGGGCCTGACTGTGCCTGCTGGGGTGCCAAAAGACTGAGGAAACTTGCAGGAAGGACGTTTGGCTTGTTGTTGTTGTTGTTTTGAGACAGTCTGGCTCTGGCTGTCCTGGAACTCACTTGTGTAGAGCAGTAAGTTCTAGTCTTTAACTCACAGAGATCCTCCTGCCTCTGCCTCTCATGGGCTGGGATCAAGGGCCTGCGCCACCACCGCCAGCAGGTGGTTTTTTGTTTTGCTTTGTTCTGATTGGTCCTTCCCCCCACCCCCACACCTCTTCATGGTAGACCCACTCAGACCAATGGAGGCTTCGTTTATTTCTAGAACCCATGTGTCAAACAGCAGACCTGTCGCATTCGGGTTCCACGTCCAGTGGTGTGTCATTTCACAGCAGGGCCGGACCGGAGCCCATGCCTCCTGCCTGCCCACCCTGCTACAGCCAGAGCCCTCTCGGTAGCCCAGTCTGTAGTGAGCCAGCCCCTCACAGCTGCTGTGGGTGGCCCTCGCTAGGCCCCCAGAGCCTGTCCTGACTTCTTACGTCCCTTCCCACGGTTCCTGTCACGAGCCTATGCTGAGCCTGTCCTGACTTCTTATGTCCCTTCCCACGGTTCCTGTCACCAGCCTGTGCTGAGCTGGCTCCCAGCAGCTGCAGAGTGCTTGCCTTTAGGTTCTTGCTGGTGCTGCCTTGCCTATGCTCACCTGCCTGGGGTCCCTTGCAGACTCTTACCTGCTTGCTACAGTAGCCTTCACATTCGTACTCAGCAGTCCCCGCCTCCCATTTTCTCGTTAGTCGGAAGCTCCCAGCTCCAGTAGGGTTCAGCCCTGCACCTTAAAACCATGTGGCCAGCATTAAAAGAATAAGCAGCAGTCTCATCCCTTAAGAGTTGAGCAGAAACTTGAGGAGGAGGAGGAGGAGGAACTTGGCATCTATCCATAGACTTCAGAGATCCTAAGGTGGCGCTAATGAACAGACACATGGGGACTCTGGGAGAATGGTATGGGCCTTGCTTCCCAGGTGGTCCTTTGTTTCTGCTTAAAGGCGGAGAGAGACCCATGTCTGATGACTTCTAACTTGGAGCCCTGTATTAGTCTTTTTTCTTTTTTTTTTTTTTTCATCTGTTGCTATGACAAAATACCCAGCACTGTGTACTTTATAAAGTAAAATAAGTTCATTTAATTCATGGCTTTGAAGGTTCAAAAGTACAGTCCTGGCTTCTGCTCAGCTCTGGTGAGGGATTTGTGGCGTAAGAGCAGGAGAATGTGCATGGAGGGAGAGGATGCAGGGTGAGACCAGGCCAGGGCAAGGGGACGGGTCTGTACTGCTCCTCTCAGGAGAACTAGCCAGGGTCCCTCTCTGAAGACCCCCAAAGACCTCCTCACCTCCCACGGCGTCATATTGTTGACCAACCTTGTCCTGGGCAAGTGCCAGAAGCATGCGGTCCCTCCCAGTGTCTGCCCTGACGGGTGGCTGTGAATGTCGCAAGTGACATTGCTGTTCCATGAACAATTTCAGTGTGAACCTTGTCCTCTTCCCTGGTCTTTCACCGTTGTAGATACTATTTCTGCAGATGACCAAGATGCCTGTGTTTGTTGTCCTTAGGAGGTTCCCAGATGGTTTCTGAAGAACTTGTGTGCAGGAAGTCACACTCCTAGCGGGCGGAGTGAGGAACCGGGGCTTTTGGGTAGAAGGGACTCTGAACCCGGTAGAAGGAAAATCATTCCCCCCCCATCCCGTCATCTTCCTTAGGGTCCTGGGCTTCTTATTCACACACTGCTTTTTGTTTAGGGATGTCAGGTGCAACTGGAGTGTTGTAGGGAAGGAAAAGAGCTGGTGCTGGGCAGCCAGTGCTCGGAGGAGAGAGAATGAGAGCAGAGGATGTCAGGCAGCCCGCCTGCGGGGACCCCTGTCCTCTCCTGCCCTCCATGACTCCTGCCCTCTCCTGCCTGCCGGGACCCCTGCCCTCTTCTGCTTTCTGGGTGCCTTCTGCTTACAGTGAACCAGGGCCGTGCTTGTTCACAGCAGATCTGCTGGCACTCTGGGCACGGATCTCTCCACTCTGCCGCTGGGAGCCCCCTGTGCTCGGCCAGTCTGAGCGGCCCTGTGTTGCCCCCTCCAAGTTTGGATGTAAGTGGACTGGAAGCGGGTGGCCCGATGAGTGGCCCCGATCACATCGTGGTGCTGTGAAGGATTGTCGGGAAGGTGACAGGGCGCCATTAGCTCATTCTGCAGCGTCAGCCAGCTGCAGAGGATGGATGGCCATGTGCTCCATGAGGACACTTGTCATTTGAGGTGGGGCAGTTCTTTATTGTCCCTGGGATGCCAGTAAATTTGGCTCCCCTTTTCCTTGTTATTGTGACAAGCAAAGAGATCCATACGTATTCCTCATTGTTGACAGAGCACCCGAGTTAACATTAAAGTACTTGGGAGTGTAGAATACGAATGAGTTACCAGAGAAGATATACCAAGGAACGTTCTGGGATTTTTCAAGTCTGTGGATGAGGTTTCTACCTTTTTGGTGAATCTGGGCGTATTTAAAAACAGAAGACTAGAGGGCCCAGTTGTAGGGGAGCTGTTCTCTTTCGTGGAGACTGCACCCCGTCAGCGCGCATACCCTCCCACATACCGACCCCTACAGGTTCTGCCACACACACTGTGTCCCCTGGGGGTGCAGCCTCCGCTTGCTGACAGGCGCTTTGAAGGAGAAAAGAAAGGCTACTGGAATACAGAATAGGCTGCGTGAGGGCATCTCGGGGCCATGAAAATTGGATGAACAGAATCGCCGAGAGTTTCTGTAACAGAAAGCAGGCCACTGCTTAGTAACCACAGCAGCGGGGGTCAGGAGGAGGAAGGGAAGAAATAATTAGAAGATTAATAGTGGTGCGATCGCAGTGACTTTCGGGGGCGGGGTGCACATTGGCCCCATAGCTAGTTTAGCCTTGAGAAGCCCCATGGCTTCTGGCAGTGTCCAGGGCTGCTGCCCTCTGCAGGTGAGAAGTGGAATGGCAGCTGGCTACCCTGCCAGGCCCATCCGGGCTTCACACTGGTCTACTTTCTTATCTTCTTACAGCTTCCCACCTACCTTCCTTCAGTCCATCTGTGCGTCTCTCCAGTCTCTCCGGAACAATAGGTCTTCCTGATGATATTACCGCTCATACACCCACAATGCCGTTGCTTTCATTTACCCTGTTCTTCCGGCCCTTGTCTGCATGCCAGTGTAACTCAGCTGTTACGCACGCCTGCCGTCATTTCAGAAGCAACAAAAGTGGCTTCTGAAGAGAGAAGCCACTCACCCCATCTTCCTGGCACTTGCTTCCTTGAGAGAGAGGTGTTGTCTGACCAGGGCATGTTGGGTAGCCTCCTTTGAGTCAGATGTGGCACCTTGCCTCCCAGCCCCTGCTCTGGAGATGGTATTTGGTGAGCCAGACACCAGGTTCCAACCCCCCAATCCCCAGCCTTTGTTAGTGGGAGAAACAAGATCATCTGGGAAAGATCCAGCCGCCCCTGCCCCCCAGGGCTTGGTTACAGCTTCCCCATTCACGGCCCCCTGGACTCCCGAGGTGGGTGCCATCGCAAGAGAAAGCCAATGGCATGGCAGCCATTGAAATCCAAAGGTCACCGAGTAATCCAGTTTGGTGTTTTCTTTCCAGCCTCAGTACCACCCTAACGTCCACCCCAGCCAGCCCCGGTGGCGTCCTCACTCTCCAAATGTCAGGTGAGTCGGTGAGCTTCTGGAGCCCTGCTTTGGGGAGTTCTCCTGCTCCCTCAAGTCCCCACTCCAGGCTGCAGGAAAAACCGTGCACTGGGGCATGACCAGGGCAGAAACCTACGCTTTTCAAAGCAAAGGAAGCGAGTGACCAGTCTTTGCGAAATAACAGATTTTAAAAAAATATATTCTAACCGCAAATATTTTGGTTTGGTTTTTATATCAGAGATGTTGCTTAAGGTTTCCAAGTTAATATTTTCTTATTCTGAGAATTTATTTTTATTTTCTTGGCTTGGAGATTAGGATTCCTTTTTTTTTTTTTTTTTTTTTTTTTAAATAAAGGGTTTTTACCCCTTGGGAATGAGGGCACTGTTTGCTTTGGTGGCTGGGGGCCTTTTTTCTCCTACTTGGGGGTTATTAGACTTTTTCAGCCAAGGAAAGTCTCCATTTCCAGCTTTGTGGTCATTGTCTGAAGACAGCAAACAGTGAGGACTTGCATAAGAATACATGACCATATTCCATTGAAACTTAATTTACAAAATAAGTGAGGTTTGTCCCGATGGCTGTCAGTATCTCCTGCCACTGCCCTTGAGTGACCTGGCACCTGCTATTTGGAGTCAGGGCGACCCCTGGGAAGCAGCCATGTCCTTAAGACTTGCATTTTTGACGAGTCTTAATTGGCATTTTTGTGTCCGGCTATTTCAGAAGCATAGTTGGTGAATTCAGGTTGACCAAGGTGGAGCTGGGGGCCTTGCTCCTTGAGGGAGCATGAAGAATCGGGTAGTAGAAGGAAATGTGCCTTGAGCAAGTTAGGTAAATGTTTATGGTGCCCTTGTAACACAGCAGTGCAGTCTGACATTATTAACACTTTGATACTCCTGTGGCATTTTAGGGCAAGTCAGGTCAGTGCGGTGATAATTCTAAAGCTTCGCAACATCCAAATTAGTTTATTTTTCAGACATGACAAGTAGGTGAGGCTTAGACGGACTATCATGTTAACAGTGCTTTAAGCAGACGTCGTAACTAGCATTGCCTATGTTGTCAGAGTGTTTTCCCTCTGTAGCGTGCCCTAGCCGCCTCTTCACCCAGAGGCAACACTTTCCCTCAGAGGTGGCCCTGCTGATGCTTCAGTGTCCCCCGAGAACCACTGCTCAGCCCCATCCCAGAGCTGTAGCTGAACCCAGGCGGCACCCAGCACGCTGTGTGTTCTAGAGCTCTCTAGAGGTGCATCCCGAGGAAAGTTGATCGCTCCCCTCTTGTGGCAGATGCAATCCAAAACCATCACCATGCACATCTGGTTTATGGAAGCTGTGCCCTCGGCTAGCTTTCCTTGGGCTGCCCTGACCACCACACACCCCTTTGCAAAACCCTGACCTGTCCAGAAACAGAGCTTTTCTCTGCTTTGAAGTTGGGCGATGATCACATGGGAGTTTTTAAAATCCTGAAGTCACCAGGCCACTCAGGTGCCAGGCACCCCACTCGCTCTCCCCCTCCCCCGCCCCCCATTTCCTTTGGTGTGCGTGGTTGGCCTCACTCCGTTCTGAATTGTCTTCCATTCTCCCAGTAACCATTCCGTCTGCAAACAAAACAGGCCATCTTATCTGGATGACAGGCCGCACTGGAAAGCCTCAGCCAGTGGAGATGACGGCCACTTTGACTATGTCCACGACCAGAACCAGAGGAACTTAGGAGGGACCTACAGTGTCACATACCGGGACAAACTCATGACTGCTCTTTGAGAAACTGAAACGCCTTACTTCCTGTCACCACCATGGTGTCTTTGCATTCCATGAGAAGCATCCTGACGTCACACGGGCGTCCTTGTACGAGTGTCGTTAAGTAGTGCGTTTAGTGTCCGAGTCAACATTTGAAGAGAACTGCCCTAGGTAGCCGTGATTTGCTGTGGACTGCATTCTCAATCACATGAAGGTAGCTAAAGGCTCAGGAATCATTTTGATATTCTGATTTTAAAATTGAAGTGAAAGTTCCTATCATCATGCGGTGTACCTGATAATCTTGTGATTTAACCAGGGGGACCACATACAGCAAACCAACAAACCAAGAGCTTGGGGGAATAGCTGGACCCATGGTACTGTAGTAGGTTTGGAGATTGCCAGGGCCCAGCCTCCGTTGCTGTGTGACCTTGGCTAGGTCATTCCCCTTTCAGTGGTTTCATTTCCTCCCTGAAAATAATGGGCTGGACTCAGTGATCTCCAGGGTCCTTTCTGTTCTGTGATTTATTAGGATTTCATTTCTCAATTGGGCTGAAAACATGCATTCAGACCAACTCCCCATAAAGACGACTGTAATACCCCTTCTGTAACAGAAGCTCCATGAAGATCATAAAACTCATTAGATATGACATCAGTACAGGGAGACTTGGAATTTTGCATCTTTAAGTGGGTTAGCGAGTATGGATTTAGGCCTCGATGCTAATCACCAGCCGCATAGCATGTTTTACTAGAATTTACTTCTCAAATAGAAGAATGACTTGCAATTGCCTTAGTGATTGGTGCTGCTAACCCATGTGCTTTCCGAAGACGTCACTGTGAGTGCTGTCAGGGTTGAGGCTGGATTTCACTAAAGATGGAACGACTTTGAAAAGCAGCATGCAGTGGAGATGAAGTGAGGGAGCGCACAGGAGAGCCTTCCAGCTTTCTGGAGGTTGTGCCAAAGCAGTCTGTCGCACAGAGGGATGCATGTGGCCCCTTCTTTCTGTAGAACCCCAGAGCAACATGCTGTCTTTTAGGGTGAAGCTTGTACCAAAATATTTATTGGCCCCATTTCAAGTGGTGCACCAAACCTCTTTTTCTCTTACTAGGCAGTCCCAGGATGTGTTTTCATATGTGGCTTTGTGCAATCAGTTGATTTCATGTCACTTTGATGTATGTGATTATAATTTGGACCCCTTTAAACCCTTGGACATGTGTTAACATCCTTCCTTGCTAAAACCTGGCCTTTTTGGTTCTACAAAAGTCTCTTGAGGAGGGAATCCTCTGCACAGTTGCACAGGGGAGTAGACCGCCTACTTACCAACTCCCCCCCAAGATGCTTGTTTACGGGTGTGTTCTGATCCCCAGGGTATGTACTGCATCTGAATAAACGTGTTCTGGTCTCTTCATCTTAACTGCTAACATTTTTACAATGTGTCTCCACGTAAAGAATAAAGATTATTCTTACTTTTTCCTTTTTTGGACTCCATCTTCATTTCATTGATTCTTCTGCACAGAAGCCTCCCTTGGATCTCACTCATGGTACAGTTGACTCCCGGTGTCCGATGGTGAACTTTCATGCTCAGTGGGACAGGACCATCCTACACTGAGGCTCTTCTTGGCACAGTGGCTGAGGTGTTTCTTCATCTGGGGTGACTCTGGCAGAGGTTGTAACACCTGGCCCCAGGTGGAAGCAGGGTGTTCCCTCATAACAGTCCCATAGTGAAGGGCACATGCCCTTATGGTCACTTACCTCTTCCTGGCTGTGTCTGTGGCCTCTTAAAGATGATTCAGGACCCCCAGTAAAAAGCCTTTCTGCTTAAACTAATGAGTAGATGAAGTTAGCTGCTTCCATAAGGCAGTCTGCCTATGAAGTGAAGTGGACCTTTACCCTGCGTGGTGACTCCGTTCTTGCAACCTCATCTTCCTGGTCCCACCGGACATTGGGGTCTCTCGGGGGTCTCTTCTCTGCTCGCTCCTTCTCTCACTTAGCCAGCCTGGAATCGCTGCCCCATTCTGTCCCGTTTTATAATGCTGTTGACTCTAAAAGCCACTATCTTCAACTCAGACTCTTTGTATGAGTTCCTGTATTGTCACTTCAGTGTGGATGTTCGTCCCGTGTGGAGTCCAAGCTCCACGCGACAGAAATCAAATTTATCGTTGACCGTCTCTCTCGGAATGCACAGCTTTCTTTCCCCTTCAAGTTCTCTTGGGCTGAGCGAGAATGCCACAGCTCTTCTCTCTCTTGCCGCCCGTGTCCAGGCAGTCCACAGTTCTACTGGATTCTGCCTCCTTCACGGTTCTCCCCAGCACTGTCTTGCAGGGACATCTTCCCCCTTGCCAGGGGTACCCGCTTTGATTTCCACAAGCCTCGCCAAGCTTACCTTGTCTCTCCGCGGCCATATCTGACTGTGTCATTCCAGTGCTGGCCACTCTGCCTCTGTCTCTCTGCTCTGGCGTCTTCCATCCGGACCCCTCACCTTTGCGAGCAAACAGTGACACCAGCCTGCACGCGCCATGCCTCATGACTGTGCCTTCTCAAATGCTGTTCCTTCCGCCTAGATTTCTGTCACTCCCAACTCCCGCTTAGCCTCTAAGCCTCCGCTCAGACATCATCTTCTCCAGGGACTCTCTTGACGGCCCCCACCTCTGCAAATTGGGTTAATTTCTGTGTTCTGTGTTCTACTACTGCCTCCCCCTTCCACCCCCAGATACGGGAACATTGTACTCACAACTTTCTATTAACACGGCTTCTTTTGTTCGTCTCCTCTCGGAGCCTTAGACTCCTCAATACGAGCTCTGCCTTTGTTCCCTGGTGCCTGACAGATAGCAAATGCTCACTGGATGTCTGCTCAGAGAATGGATTCATCCCAAAGGGAATTTCTATCCAGGTAACAGGCAATGATACGTCATCCCTGTTCTGGTCTGAAGGGTTCTGATGTACACCATCCAGTCTGGAGCATCCCATTTTGAGGAGAACGTGGACCAGCGTATCGTTTGTAGACTCAGCTTCATCATGTGCACACTATTCAGTGTGTCTCATTTGAAGCATTGGTATGATGTTGACCAGGGCAGAGGACCCATTGGACATCTGACATTGAAAACCCCATTAGGTGGGGAGTGATTGATCTACAGTCATACGGAGGGGTTAATGACCAATTTCATGCTCCGCATGTGTCATGTCATTTTATCATCCGGGCCACTCTGCAAGGTGGGTAATATCTCACTCATAGGGAAGCTCAGAACTGGGATTCTGTCAAGCAGTGCCAACATGTCATACAGCAGGTAAGTCGCAGC